TCCTGATTCCGAATATGGTATTTTTATTACATAGAAGTTGAGAGAAAATCGAGAATTACGGGCAGAAATTTCGACTGTTTCGCCTCTGATTTAGAAAAAATGATTTTTCTCAAGAATGAAACACAATGTAAAAAACCTAAATGGGTACTGTTAAAGCTCGTGTTTCAGCGGTTCTAATGATGTACGACACTTGGCTTTATCTCTTCGTACAAAAAAGTAGATAGATTTGCAAAGTTGCATACTAGCACACCCTAGTAGAGGCGTTCGTCAGAGCCGTAGCGGACAGACCTTTAACTTCAAAATCAATCAAAGACCACTGTCATACTCAGTTTTTGATGGCGAATCAGAAAAATACCCTTTGAAAAAGTTTCCGCAACAAAAAGGATAAAAATTTGAATTTTTCTCAAATGAGCGCTTTTTTTCAATTTTTTACACCCTTCGCGTTTTTCCAATTTTTCTCGCTTAAAACATTGTCCAGAAAATTAAAAGGCACATATTTGTGATCAGCACATCAATCTCTATCAAACGATATATAAATAAAATAAAATCTGCTCCGTTTTGGCATTGTTGGCACCTTACTCGATTGCAGCTATTGGGTAACGACCGTGGAACTCTAGTAATCGGGCGATTGCTTGATTTCTTGTAGTTGCAACTATCGATTTATCGCCCGATAATTGATCGATTTAACTATGGCTAGTTGCACCTGCAGACGCATCTAGTTAAAAGTTCCTTTTCCAACTAGTAATCTAGAAGACAACTAGTCGTGCATCGCCCGATTACAAACAAAATGTATCTAGATTTTTCCCATAGGTGATTTTTGCTCGGGATCATATATTAAATGAACCATCCAAAGCCTTTTAAACAACACAACTTTTGTCTCATCATTATCACCATCCTCATCATCAATACTTATATCCTAACACTGTACTTATTTCTAAATAATTATACACAATGTGACGCGAAAGACGTTTGTATTCATATAGGTAAAGTCGCGTTTCGCCAATTCAGCTTTCGCCAATAGACATTCGCCATATTGGCGACTGGCGAATGTCCACAGGACATTCGCCAGTACCCCTACGACACTTGCCATAATTAGCGAATGTCCACACGACATTCGCCATTGTCCACATGACATTCGCCAGTACCCCTACGACACTTGCCATAATTAGCGAATGTCCACACGACATTCGCCATTGTCCACATGACATTCGCCATAATTGGACAGGTACTGGCGACAGTCGCCAGTACCTGTCCTCAGTATTCATTTTGTTTTTTGTTGTTTTGTTGTCAACTTTCGCCAACAGATATTCGCCATATTGGCGACTGCCGATGTCCGCACGACATTCGCCAATTATGGTGAATGTCCCCTCGACATTCGCCAATTTTTTTGGACATTCGCCAATTTTTTTGGACATTCGCCAATTTTTTTGGACATTCGCCAATTTTTCTGGACATTCGCCTATTGGCGAATGTCTACTGGCGAACATTGGCGAACTGCGACACATCCTTCATATAAATCTATATCATCAGGTAATGCTTGTTTAGCTAAAGCCAGTTGGATAGCTTTATCAACATTATGTTTTGGTCTCCTTCTTGTTGCACACAACCGTTAACTTTCTTAAACAAAACGCATAGTTGTTAGTTCTTCGGCTATTTGAACGTGCCTAATCCAGTTCCAGAAATCTGAAATTGCGCAAAAGTTATCAAGTTCCGCAGCTAGAATTAAAACTATCATCTTATGAATTCAGTTGTCGATGGTACAGGTCGACACGAATGTTGGTTTCTCTTCAATTAAATCCAAATGACTCCATTTATCAACGGAAAGCTTGGAAACGAATTGTTTAATTAAATCGAACACAGGTAGAGATGAGGCGGATTTAGGTAACAGCATGCTTTTTGAAATTTAGAAATGATACCAACAAATAGTCTTTCTCATCATATTTGGCACTGATACCAGCCGTTGATTTTCTACTACGAGGATAATTATTGTCTGTCATTGTATATATATCTAGAATATAAAAATAAGAAAAAACAGATGAATACGAGTATATTTGACGGCAAAACAAGCTCAAGTGAAAGGATGTATCAATAAGTAAGGAGAAGAGAGAGAAAAAAATGGGAAGTTAACAAAAAAACAAAAACTTCTAACCTTTCGCAGAGGAACTCTGAATTTTTCCTCAATTCCAATGCACAGTTCAGCATTTTTATGTTTTCTTTCCT